CGGAGAGCGGAGAGCGGCACTTGCTGCGGAGCAGGTGCGACAGGACGAGGGCCAATTTCCATTTGTTCCGGGGCAAGGCAGGAGCCTCCAGCAACAGGGGCTGCTGCATTGATTTGCTTTCGTATCTTGAAATGCAGACTTTTAGGGGACCTAGAAAGAAATCCTAACTCTTCCCACGCTCAAGCTAACGAGGAAAAGTGCTGTAGATGACTTCGCCCAGCTACCCTGTGCCAAATAGCAACTCTGGAAACCCAGCTGCTCGCGGCCATGTGATGCAGCTAAGGCGGTGCCCTCGGGTGGGTTCAGTTACCTGGAAAGAAGGGATGAAGGATTTGGGGCGGCCCAGCATCTGACAATACTCGAAGATTTCCGTCCTCTGGATAGCCTCAGTTGTTGCAAATTTCAAAAACTCTTGACTACAGCCAGGGAATAACAATAAAAGAAATTGAGGGGGGATTGGGAGGGAGGAACTTAAATCCTAGTAGACAAGCACCAGCTGCATCCGAACAAGGTAGATAGAGTTCCTGCCCTGGGCTGATCCCTGGGGCGACTCCAAGACGGGAAAGAGACTGGGGGCCTCCGGAGTGAATGTTTTGCCTCCTCTTTCTCCTCCTTCTTGGGGCTGGGGAAGGAACAGAGCAGAGCCCTGCACCAGAAGTGCAGAAAGGGGGGTCCTCCACCTTCTTTGCTGGAGGGTCACCTAAGGCAAACTGACCTTCCTCCTCCTCAGAAGGGCACTAGGCGCTGCTCTTTAACATGCTGAGAGCTCACCTTAGTACCCTGAAGGCCTAGAACGTGCATCTATGCAAGGCCACTCCCGGCCCCAACAAAACAGCATAAGAGGGTGCTCTCAAGAGCACCCAGAAAAGAAGGCATGGCCAAGAATGGGGACAACAGCTGAGCCAAAAATCAAAGGACAGTCCCTATGCTGGGTATTCATTCAGCCAATGAGGCAATGAGGAAGTGGGCTGGCCAAATGTGATCCCAGGGACTACCAGACCCCTCCACGGGCCCTGACGGCTTGGCGTGCCTCTTAATCTCGATCACCACAGGTTATCTCCAGAAATGTCCTTGTACCATATAAACATAGGAGGGAGACGAATTAACCCGTGCACATGTATTGTCACATTTGGCACAGGTGGTCTTCTCTGACAAGCCCACTATATGCTGTCAGAGACCACGACCCAGAGAGAGCTGGCCACGACTGTACATTTCCACAGAGGTAGGCAGTTTTGCGCAACCGTTGAAAGGACCTCACAGCCTCACAGCCTGGATTCCAAGTCCCACGTGACTGCACACTAGCTGTGCTATCTTAGATAAGTTATTTAACCTCTCTGTGCCTTGGTTTCCCTCCTCTATAAAGTTAAGATTAAACATATACTTTATTCATAGGATAAATTTGTACTGATTAAAGGAAACAGTGCAAATAAAATGACTGGCACAATGTAAGAGTTTAGGGTATGTTAAGTGGGGGGGCGGGGAAGAGAGATCCAGAACATGGAGAACTGCTGGGAAGCAAACCGATCTTTTTTGTCCATTTACTCATTGTCTACAGGCTTATTAAGATCCTTCCGTGTGAAGAGGAGTCTGGGAGGCTCAGCTGGTTAAGCGTCCAACTCTTATTTCAGCTCAGGTCATGATCTCGCAGTTCCCTGAGTTCGAGCCTTGCATCGGGCTCTGCGTTGATGGTGCGGAGCCTGCTCGAGACGCTCCCTTTCTCTCTGCCCCTCCCCCACTCGCACTCTGTCTCTCTCAAAATAAATAAATAAACTTAAAAAAAAAAAAGATCCTTCTGTGTGAAAACGCTAACGTTATGGCCAACGAAGAATAAGTAACAGGCTGGACTTTGAGTAGCTTGTGCACCGTCAGTGTAGGGGTGTAAGGAGTAAACATAAACTTCTTGCAATTTCCAATTCTGCCCAGGGCTGACTCTGAGACAAGCCCAGGGCTGCCTAATACAGAACCTCAAGCCACCCCGATCGATCGCACTGACAGTTCTTAAGACATGATGTCTGGTCATGGAGCCAGGGCGCCACCAAGTGGTCAGAAGGGGGCAATACACCGCAAAGATCCACACGCAGTTTTGGGGAGCAGGGCTGGGGCCTGAGGCCCCCTGGAGGTGTGATGCGGCTCCCACCGGGCACACCTCCCTGCCCAGATCTGTGCAGAACAGCCCCAGAGGAGGGGAGCAGCAGTAGGTGAAATGCATACAAGAAAATGGAAAGTAGAGCCATGAGACCCAACAAGGCCTCCCTCAAACAATTCCCTGGAAACCGTCCTTCCCGTTCCCTTTCCCCCAGGAGACCCTACCTGTGGCTACTGCCAAGCAAGGCCAGATGATCTGTCTTCACGGTGTAGTGGCCGAAGGGCACGTGAGCCACGAGGTAGCAGAAGTGGGCTGCCTCCACCAGCCCCTTCCCAGCTGCAGGAGGAGGAGAGCAAGGCCCAGTTACGGAACATGGCTGTGTGGGGACCCACCATCGGGGTGGGTGGGAGAGAGATGGCAGAGGGGGCTCGGGGTCCGAGGGGAGAATCCTCCGGGGAGGGAAGGCCAGAGTCGCTGGCCCTAAACCACACTGTCCCCTCCCACCAGCATTTTTGGCTTCGGACATTACATTTCAATTCTTTTCAGCCAGAATACATCACTGATTCGTGTTTTCCTAGTATATTCGTGATTAGGAATTTTCTAAGCATTTTAAGTCCTTCCTGAGGGTGAAAAGAGAGCAGATGCCTACACCTGAGCAAAGAAGTAGCTGTTTTTAAATTAGACTCCTTGGGGGCACTAATGCTTCCTCTGCTAAAATCAAACAATAGAAAACTTTTCGCAGGGCTCATAAAAACTACCAATAATGACCAGCCTGTTCCCATTTTCAGAATGTTCTCCCATACATTTTCCATTACCTCAAAATTGAATTAATTCAAGTAGGTGACGTACTCAGCACAGGGCCAGGTGCCCAGGAAGGACTAAACAAAACCCGCCTCCCTTTCTAACCATCGGCCGCTGACCCACCTGCCGTCTGACTTGGCGCTACCTCGCACATCGCTCTTTTCCGTTTAACAGAGCAATATTTCACAAAGTTAACGAAGAGTATCATGATTTCTAGGCATTCAGCCCCTTGACCAAATTTGAGAACCTCCGGTCTGGAACATTCTGCAACCCTTAGTGTTTATAAGGCAACGTTCACTGAGAGATAATAAAGGTAAAGCCTACACAATTACTCAGGGTAGTTCAGGCAAAAATAGAAGTTCCTCTCTGGCTGAGCTGGGTCGCCGTGCAGCTAACCATAACAAGAGGCGGGGTTCCCTGTGTGTTAGCTCCATCCTGGGGGGAATCTGACTAGGGATAGAAAACCAGCTGCTGAGGGGAGCCTCCGCAGCAGCCCAGCCCGAGTCTCAGGGGCCTGGACTGCATTGCAGCAGAAAATCTGGGAAACGGAGAGACAAGAACGACACTCCTTTCTCTGGAGTTTCCGACCCCCAAACACTGAGGCCCCTGGGTCAGAGGAAAGCCTGAGGCACAGACGCAGGCCCTGCACAGAACCTAAAAGCCTGAGGATAGACGTGTAAAGTGGCCTGGACACAGCCTAGAGGAGAGGAGGGGGCAGGGCTGGCTTCTGCTTACCCAGAGTGTCCCCCATGGTGACAATTGTGCGCTGATGCAGCTCCAGGTCCCCACTCTGATTTGACAGAATCACGGCCAAGTGAGGCCTCCAGTCTCCCCACTGCTTGTCCCCACAGCACTGGAAGGCAGCAGACAAAATGGAAGATTTACTGGCTGAAGGATCACGGGCCACAACGTGGATGGAGAACGTTGTTGTCTGTCTCCTGGTTTCGAGGAGTTCGGGGAAGGCCGGCTTCCGCCACCTGCATTGCTGCCCGTCACTGATTTCCAGATCTCCTTTTAAAAAGCAAGACTTGGGGCTCCTGGGTGGCTCAGTCGGTTAAGCATCTGACTCCTGACTTCAGCTCAGGTCATGATCTCACGGTTCATGAGTTCAAGCCCTGCTTGGGTTCTGCACTCACAGGGCAGAGCCTGCTTGGGATTCTCTCTCCCTCTCTCTCTCTCTGCCCCTCCTGTGCCCTCTCTCTCAAAATAAATAAATAAGTAAACTTAAAACAAACAAACAAAAAGACAAGACTGCTGGAAGGATGGGCAGGCAGACAGACACGGACGCATACATGCATTCGTAGGAACCTTAGGCGATAGGTAAATAAAATGACACTTTTGATCACTTACTGATTTTCAAATTTCTTCCTGGTACCCCTGGCCCCAACAGCTAGGGACAAATCCAGAAAAAGAAAACAAAACAAACCCTGATGTTTCAGTGGGAGAAGGAAGACCAAACATCCTTGGCTCATATGAAGAATCCACATTAGCCTGTTAGAAGCCAGGGCAATCCTAGGCCCCTTAATACCTTACCAAATGGCTTGTGTTTTCTGGTTTTACAAAGGCCTTTCACACACATGACCTCAGTTAATTTTCACAACCCTATTAAGCTGAATTCCCATGGCTGGAGAAAAGCAGGCCAAGTGGCCCAGCCCCGCACCCAGTCCCCGTTCCTCTTGCTCCCAGCGGTGGGCTCTGCCCGCTCCCTCTGGTGACAATGCAGGGGCAGCAGAGCTCCACCAGGGGGCAGCAGCGTGCACACAGAACCCTGGAAGTGGGGAAATGCCCCACACAAATGGTGGGGCTTGGGCTTCCCTTCTCCCGAATGAAGGGGAATTTTAGGACAGGAAATATCTATAAAGAAGCAATAGAACATCACAGAAACAACCCAGGCCCTGGATTCAACTGGCATCTCGCCTTTTTACTAGCTGTGTGACCTTGAGCACGTTTCTCAAAACCTTTTTTCCTCATCTCTTAAGTGGAGATCATAATATGAGTTATATTCTACATAACAGTTATTGTTGATAATGAAATAAGATAGCTAGGTAAAGCACATAGCATAGTGCTTTGCACTTAGTTTGTTTGCCCTTTATAAATTATACATAGGTGCATATACACAGATGTACACACACACACACACACACACACACACACACACACACACGGAAGCCCAGCAAAAGGAAGGAGGTGATTTGTAGACCAGTCCATCTTCCAGTTTGTTATTGGAATGGGTAGAGCAAGAGATCGATAGTAATAGCTAAGATTTGGAAGTCAAAACAATCCTTAATTATTTGGTCTTTGTAGTTATCCCCAGGAACAAAAGATGCTTTATCCAACTCCACTTTATAGTTACTCTTTGTTTATCTGGGCGATGCAGTGTGAATGAGGGTGATGATGATGATAAATCACAAGAAGAGCAGTTCTTACTCACTGCAATCTGGCCGTGAACCATACCCGCTGCTAGGCGTTTCTCCTAGAACGGTCACACGCATTGGGTACTATTATTATCCCCGCATAAGCCAGGCCCTTTCTCGCTCTAACGAAAGGAACGTGCAAAAGAAAAATCCTTGCTGAAAAGAACAAGCATTTAGAAGTCATTCTTCTATCTCTTCCCTAGATGATTTGAAAAAAATCACTGTAAAGCAGATGTATGGAGAGAAAGAGTGTGCAAGAGAGAGCATACACCTGACTAACTTCAACGGGTCAAGCATGGTCGTTGATCTGCTCAGATATCCTCTCTCCTTTACTCTTCACAATAACTCTCTTGGTTAGGCATCAAAATTCCCACAAAGAGGAAAACCTGAGGCTCTGAGATTAGGTAACAAAGCCAAGCTCACAGAGCAGCAAGGAGCAGGCTCTGGTTAGACTTGTGATAGAAGCCTACATCTGGGTTTTCCGGCCGCCGTGTCTTTTCCACTCATTCCAAGTAACTAACAGCCAGCCTTTTCCTGGGTGCCAGATGCTAGGTCACTCTCAAACACTGAGATCAAATACCGCCTTGGCACATCACCTCCTGCTCCTCAGTTTTCTCACCTAAACACAGGGAACATTTAGTTAACTCTACCACTGCAGTGAGACCCAGTGGACCATACGTTGATTGCATAATTTCCTGCATTTAGTGCTTTGTGACATGATGCACCGTCATGGCGGTGTGCGGCATTCCGCTGAACTGTGAGCACTCCATGTTCCAGTATAACCAGTGGGTTTGATGATGGGGCATGAAAGTCATCATCTCTCTTTTCCTTTCTAGGAATCGTCCCCAAGCAATAAGAACAGAAAAGCAAAAATGTGAAGTCCATTTTCATTAAAACCGGGTGACAGCAAAAACCCAAATTTCAAAATATAAGAAAAGGCTGCCAAAGGTAGTGGAAATTGAACAGAGTGCAGGAGGGAGCAGAGAGAGAATTCCAGAAGGAGAGGATCCTACAGCCATCTCTGCCGACTTAGGAGAAGGAAAGGCTACACAGATACCCACAGAAAACTCCAGATCGTGTGGGAAATGCCAGATAGCTTGCAATGTGGCCCTGGCCCCTCCCCAGCACAAACCTACCAGAAACTACTGGCCCAGGGAAGACTCAACTCCTGTCAAGGAACAAGCACAAAATCTGTACAAATACACTGTAAAGATAGAAGGAAGGAAGTAATATGAAAAACTAATGGAAGGTAGAAAGAACATTCACTGGGAAAATGTTACCACAAAACAAAGAGATATCACCAAACATTTCATCACGAATTTAAGTAAAATCACGAAACAATTTCTTCTAAGAAGCAAGGGCATTATCACTAATGCTAAGTGATAAGAGCTCAGGAAGAAGACAATGAACAACAGGAAGAGGCCAATGTGACCTGCAGAGCTCAGGGAAGAAGTGAGAGAAAAATCAGAGACATCAAGTTAAAACTGGCACCAAAATTAAGAGACAGTGTCCCTTTCATCAATATGGAAACACAGGAAGGGACACATAGGATGGCAATGAGAAGAGCAAAAAAAAAAAAAAAGAAGAAGAAGAAGAGGAGGAAGAAGAAAAAGAAGAAAAGGAAGGAAGGATGGAAAGAAAGAAAGAAATTTTAATTAAAGAGAATATAATCTGTACATGTATATGTATATAGTTCGTATCTATATGAAATGTGCACATATGGAATTCCTGAAAAAAAAAATAATAATGGAACAAAACAAATATCGAAGGATATAACGCAAGAAAACTTCCTTGAACGGTAAAATATGAATGCACGTATTAAAACAGTATGCTGTGTCCCAAGAAAAAAAAACAAAACAAAACTGCCCTGACAGCACCAATACATCCTGGTAAAGTTACTAGACTTCAAAGGTAAAGAAGGATACTTTGGGGAAAAAAGATACTTTCATAGGGAACTATCAAGCTGGCCTCAGACTTGAGCCATCTCCAACTCTAGACAGCATGTAAGACCAAATATGTCCAACTTTGCAGGATGGATGTGCAGTGGGGGGAAAGAACGGTGGCCTTACTGCAGGAAGCCTGGGGACAGTCTGGCTCTCTCGCTATTTACGCACACTGAGCAGGCAGCTATGGTATTGTGAAAATGACAAGGTTTTTGGAATCAGACAGACGGAGCCAATCCTGGCTCCACGACTCCTCGCTCAGTGATCTATGGTCATATGACACCTTTGCACCTTAGTTCCCACCTCTGTAAAACGGGGGTAGGAATTCCTTCCTCTGTGTATTAAATGAAATCATATGAATGAATTGGGCCAGGTGCAATTACCACTTATTTTTAATCTTTAAAGTCATCACCTCGTTCCTGAGCTGTCCCCACCCCCCCCCCAAACCTTAGGACACTGGGGTATTGAAGGAGGTCTGTCACAAAGAATACCGTGGCTGCCTGTGGGATCCTCCCCGACATGAACTGGAAGAGGGTCTGCAGTGGGTCATTGGATGCCAGCGTGCTGGTAAAGCTGCGGAGAGAGACGACTGTTAGTGGGGACCAAGCCGAGAGAGCCTTTGACCCATTGCCAGTGGGGCAAACCCCCCCGTAGATCTCTATTTGACTTCAGCAGCTTCTTTCAGAACATGAACTTCTCTTTGCTTTTCTGCCGCACCTCTGCTTGGCTCCCACTTTGGGGGGATCGGCAGGATCTTGATTCCACCCCAGATGGGGCTCTCTGTTGGGGGGTATTTTCTGCACTTTGGCACTGATGCCCCAACTCTCCAGTAACCATTTCTATAGGTCTTCTTTGTCATGGAAATGCCCCACATCTCAGAGATCCCTAGAGAGCCCCAGCAGTTAACCCAAACATCTTCTCTGTGGGCCCCTCCTACCCAGTCACCCTCAACTTCTAGTCCCCTGAAGCAGTTCCCCTCGTGCCACGCCCACAGCCTCCAGGGCTGGTTTTCTGGCTCGTGACTAGCCTGGGTCTTTTACTCACATGCACTAAATAGCCATTTTCAGTAACCAAAGAGGCGTAGAACAGGGACCAGAAATGATCTTCCTGATGACAAACCGTGGGATATGCTTAACAAGGATATAATAAGCTCTAGAGCTGATTTGAGATTTAAGCATACTCAGTAAGAGATATTTTTCACAATTCACTGGGCCCCATCAAAAATCAATGGCCCAAGGCAAAAATCTGTCGCAGAGATGTATGCTACAATGTGGGATTGTGGGATGTTCATTTCCAAAACCCAGAGGAAAATCGTCCCTCAGAACAGGCTTTATAGGACGGGGGAAGAACGCGGTCTTTTATTTAATAGCACCCTTGCCTCGGGAGCTCAGAGCGCTTATCATAATAAAACTCCAGGGTTCCTCACCATCCTGAACATAATGAAGTGCACAGAGGTGTTACCAGTCCCTGGGAAGACTGAGGGTTACAGTAGAAGAGAGACTCCACAGAGGCCGTGGTGGAGAAGGGTAGTGTGGCAGCCTTGAAGGGAGGTACCATCTTCTCAGCCATCTGCCCGACAGCCAATTTATGGGCCAATTTAAACTTAAGTCAAGCTGAGAGGTTCACAGCTTCACAGCTTCGACTAACACAGGAAGATGAACATTTTGAGGGAGCATCCTTCTCACGGTCTGATCCAATCCTGCCCCTTATGGGAGGGCCCCACGGCCTCCCCACCCCTACCACATGTCTATCCCTGCCAACCCACAGATCTGGCTGCAGCTGGAGGGGCTTACTCAGGAACCCTTCTCCAGCACCACCACCCCCCCCCCCCCCAGACATTTCACTCCTATGCCCAAACTCCTGCTGGAGTGGTCAGCCTCCCATTCTCTGTTCCTCCATCCTGGTAGCGGGCATTTTTCCGCAGCCCTGCTGTCTGGCATGATCTCTGACTAAACACATTCCTTCAGTCTCGTCATGTCCCCTGCCCTAGATGAAGACTTCTGGTTGTAATCCTCGCTATAAAAGCCTGTTCCAGTACAGTTTCCTGCTTCCTGAGCATATTCCGGACATTCCTTCCTCTCAGCGCCCACATCCCCCACTGCAAGACTCAGTGGTAGACAGCTACTAACTCTCAGACCCAAAGCTCTGTCAGTTAACCCTAAGTGGTCACCTATTCCCTCACTGATGGAACTATCTAGAACAGCCCCTCCCAAAGAGAACTACCGGATTGCAGAAACCCATGCAACTTTTGGAAACTCAGACCCTGAGAAATATTACTAAACTGAATATTTAACATAGCAGGTAGAAAGAATGTGTCCATGTCTAGGTTCTAAGAATCTGGAGAAGCGATATGCTAGGTCCAGGTCAGAAGAGAAAAACTGGAAGGATGCTTGGTGCGTGGGGCTTCCCAGCACATCCTGCATTTGCCTCCCAACACTCCCTCCCTTGGCGGGCCTCTCTCTGCTCTCTGCTCCTTAGGTCTTCTTTGCCAGTGGCCTGCTCACCCACTCATAACCCAGCTGTAGGTCCTTGGGTCCATCTTGCTGGCGAGGAACAAAGCGTGGCCCCACAAGTGGTTCTTCATGGCCCACTCCAAGGCTTCCTGAAAACAAAAGCATGTCACAGTCAGCATGGCCCTATTCACCTTCCCACAAACAACAAATGTCGATGGTTGGGTACTGCTGCCCTTGAGCTGTACAAGCTGGGCTCCCGGGAAGGCTCGGAGCCTCATCTGTGAGAGGGACAAAGGAAGAGCGGGTGCCTATTTCTCTCTAAGATGTCCCTTCTCCAGCCTTCACTTTATCAAATACATTCTGCTATTTCATCATCTGCCCCTCAAACGTAGCTTCCAGTCAGCCTTAGCTCTTTAGCAGAAGTCACATGATACTTTTACGAACCTAAGCACCGAACACGAGAGAAGCACCACACCCCCAGGACTGAGTCTCAAAGTACAGGTAGCAAGATGACATTCATGGGGGCGTGTTACAGGAACGGTTTCTTTTTTAACAACTGTGGCAGAGACTGTTAGCTCCCCACCAAAAGCCATTGCCCCCTTCCTGGGCAAAGAACTGCACCGCATTTTCCCGCCTCCCATGCACCTAGAAGTGACTGAGTTCCAGGCTCTACAATGGCAACAGAAATGGTTATATTGCGTCCAGATCTGGTGCATAGAAGTCCTGTGCCCGGTCCCCCATGCCCTTTTCCCCATCTGGCTGGCTGGAATGAAGATGGCTTCTCATTCCACATAGACTATATGCTCAGATGGTACAGCCTCCTCCATGCCTTGAACTACTCCGGGAAGAAGGGCTGACCCACCGTTCTGCTCACCTGCCCAGGATGCCCACATGAATAGAAAGTAGCTGCTACCATGTTTGAGCCAGTTTGCATAGCAGTCGACCTGCCCACCTAATATTATAACTAATTGCTCGTTAACTATCAAGTGCTTGTTATCTATCAACTTCATGTGCCAAATTAATGACACCGTTAACTTGGTGAGATGGGTTAGAGGCTGTAAGTTTTAACACACACACACTCACACTCATCTTTTCATTCAATTTTCAGAATTATGTATTTGAGGTTTTGACCTGGTATTAATAATTTCTTTAGTGCCCTCAAATAATGCGTTTTTTTGGACAAGAAGTCACTAATGAGGTAACTCCACTTCCAAGCACAAATTTCCTTGATCATCCTGACATCTCCCATGCTATCTTATTTGAAAAGGGAGAGAACAAATTTAAACAACAACCACCATTAGGAAATTCAACTTCACGTCCACTACAAGCAAAAATGACATTGAGTTACTCTTTACATAGGTTAAACTAATTCACAACAGTATTTTTTTTATAAATATAGGTTTTCTATTTTTTCAATTTATTTTTGAGAGAGAGAAAGTGTGAGTGAGCAAGGGGCAGAGGGAAAGAGAGAGAATCCCACAAGGGGCAGAGAGAGGGAGAGAGAAGGAGAGACAGAACATCCCCAAAGAGGGCTCTAGCTCACCCAATATGGGACTCGAACTCACAAACCGTGAGACCATGACCTGAGCTGAAGTCGGATACTCAACCTACTGAGCCACCAGGTGCCCCCACAACAGTATTTTTTTAAGGGAATTACTAATAATTGGTTGGGAATCACCACTTTGCTCAAAAATTTGCATCTCCAAAAATATAATTTAGGATTAAGTGAACTGAGAACTTACATTGAGGATATTAATCTGACACAGTGCCAGAAATGAGACCCCAGTCAATATTAATAAAGGTTTTAAAGACATTTTGGCCTCCAGTTCCTCATGAACCACTCTGAGCCCCCAGAGTACTCCTTCTATGCCCTGCTCACCTCTGGGGCTATAGGTATGGCAGGTGGTGCAGTGGATGGTCAGAAGCCCAAGTTCAGACATCAGGCTGCCTAGATCTGAACCCTGGTTTTGTTACTTACTAACTCTCCTCATTTGTCAGTACATAAAACAAGAATAGAACGTAACCCACAGGGCTTCTATGAAGATAAATGAGACAATGCATGTAAGATGTTAAGTAAGTGCCTGGTACATAGAAAGTATTTTTTAAATATTTGCTTTTGGGGCGCCTGGGTGGCTCAGTCAGTTAAGTGTCCGACTTTGGCTCAGGTCACAATCTCGCGGTTTGTGGATTTGAGCCCCGCGTCGGGCTCTGTGCTGACAGCTCAGAGCCGGGAGCTTGCTTCAGATTCTGTGTCTCCCTCTCTTTCTGCCCCTCCCCCATTCACACTCTGTCTCTCTCTCTCAAAAATGAATAAACATTAACAAATAATAATGATAAATAAATATTTGCTTTTGTTATTGTTATTGCTATGGTCATTACTTAATCTTTCTTAAGGAAAGAGATTTTTACTGATTTATTTCTGTATCCCCCACTGGATTCAATGCCTTAGAAGTTGTGGCTGTTTGACAAATGTTTGCTGAATAAATAAATTGTGAAACTTCAGGTCCCTACTATATAGTGAACAAGGGGATGGTTATCATATGATCCCACTGATTTTCACTGACTATCATGTCTACGACTCATTTAAAATATAATATCACATGAATGCAGGGTGTTATATGTATAAGTGATGAATTACTGGGTTCTACTCCTGAAGCCAATATTACACTGAATGCTAACTGACTAGAATTTAAATAAAATTTTGGAAAAAAAATAAAATATAACATCATATACAGATAAACAGAGATTAAAGATTCAAATGTAAAGGTGAAGTCACAAAAGTATTTGAACCTTATTTTCATAAATTAGTTTTAAAGTAGGAAAGCCTTTCTAAATATCACCCCACAAAAGTAATTTCGTACAGAAAGTCCTTAAAAAGTAAAGAGCTCTTACAAATCAATAAATAGAGATCAAACACCCAACAGAACAATGTAGAAGATCCATGACAAAATAATTCACAGATTAGGGGCACCTGGGTGGCTCAGTCAGTTAAGTGGTTAAGTGTCTG